TACCGGGCGCGCTTCCCCGCCTGCTCCCGGCCCGGGGTCCCGGCAGTGCCGGGGGGCTCCGGGGCGCACCGGGCGGGCCGGTGACCTTGGCGAGCCGCCGGTCCTGCGCAGCGCCGGCACCGGGGCAGGGCCGGGCCGAGCTCCCGGCGTCGCTCCCTGCGCGGAACCGCAGCGGCGGCACCGGCGGCGGCACCGGCGGAGGTACCGGCGGAGGTACCGGAGGAGGTACCGGCGGGGGTACCGGAGGAGGTACCGGCGGAGGTACCGGAGGAGGCACCGGCGGGCCCCTCCCGCGGGCGGCACCGGGCACACGGTGAGTGCGGGGCTGCGGCCGCCGGGCACCGGGACGGGACCCCCGGGACCGGGAGGGACGCGGCAGGCGAGGGTCTCCCCCTGCGGGGCGGCGGCGGCGGCAGGAGCGGGGCTCCCCCCGCGCCGCGCTGTCCTCGCCCGGGCACCGGAGTCCCGCAGCCCCGGGGCTGCCGCCGCAGTGTCCCGCACTGCAACACCGCACCGGGCCCGGAGCGCCGCCACCGCCGCAGCCGCTGCCCCGAGCGGCACCGGGACCCCGCGGGGCTGCCGCGCTCCTCCCGCCCCCGCGGCGGCCACCGGGATGCCCGGGGGGGTTTCCCGCGCCCCCTGCCCCCACCGGGCACCGGGACCCCCGTGGGGGGGGGGGGTGCCCCGCTCCGTCCGCCCGCGGACCGGGCACCGGGGCTGTCCCGCTCGCCCTCAGCCCGGGCTTGGCACCGGCACCACCGGAGGGGTTCAGCCTCTCCCCCAGCCCCCGGACCGGGCACCGGGACCCCCGGGGGGGCTGCCCCGCTTTCTGTGCCTCTCGAGCGGACCCCGAGGGCCCGGGCAGCGCTGCCCCGCTCCCTTTGCCCCCGGGACGGCGCCGGGACCACCGGGAGGGGCCGTCCCTCCTCCTGCCCGCGATCGGGCACCGGGACCCCCGTGCCCCCATCGGGGGGGCAGACCCAGAGCCAGGCTGGCATTTGGGGCGCCCCGCGAGCGGGGCTCAGCCTCGCAGCCCCCCGAGGAGGGGGAGGCGCCTCCCGCGGCCCCTCCGCGCTGTCCCGGGCCGGGCTCGGGGCTCTCGGGGCCGCCGCCGCCCGCCCCGCGCCCACCGGTTCCGCTGCCAGAGGTGCCAAAAATAACTGGGGCGATCCGGCCCGCTGCGGCTGCCGCGGAATATTCATCCCGCCGGGAAGCCCCGGGGCACGCCGAGCTCAGAGCCGCGGCCGGGGGTCCCCGCGGGGCTTGGGGGGCGATCGGGGGGCGCAGCGCTGCCCGACCCCCGCCCGGGCACGGGGCGGGCGGCAGCGGGTGCGGGCACCGCTGGGCGCTGCGGGGGCAGAGCGGGGGCTCCGCTCGGCCGCGGGGTTTGGGGGGCTCAGGGCGCTGCTGTCCCCCCCAGATGCGTCCCCGCAGCCCCTGGGCCGCTGCCCCCGCGGCGCTGCTGCTGCTCGCCGCCCTGGCCGCCCCCGAGGCGCTGCCCGGCGCCCGCGGCAGGAAGAAGGTGGTTCATGTGATGGGTGAGTGGGGTCGGCTCCGGCGGCACCGGGACGGGTTTGGGGTCGGGGGAAGCGCCGGCCGCCTTTGGGCTGTTGGGTGTAACGCCCGGCAGAGCACGGCCGGGGCTCTGATGCGCCCCCCGTGTCCTCCCCTGCCCCGTGGGAACCGTCCTGGGGTCATCCCGAGCTCTCCTTAGGCTTTGCAAAGTCCCACAGAAAAGGGGAATTGCACCCGAAGTGTGTCCGCACGCCCCCATCCTGCTTTGCCCCTAAAAGCGGGGAATTCAGCCCCAAAGTGCGTCCCCACGTCC